GAGTCAATACAGTAATTGACGTTATATAGTATAGAGTCAATACAGTAATTGACGTTATATAGTATAGAGTAAGTACAGAAATAGACGTTATATAGTATAGATTCAATACAGAAATAGTCGTTAAATAGTATAGAGTAAATACAGAAATAGACGTTATATAGTATAAAGTCAATACAGTAATAGACGTTATATAGTATAGAGTCAATACAGAAATAGACGTTAAATAGTATAGAGTCAATATATATTAATAGACGTTACATAGTATAGAGTCAATACAGAATAAACGTTATATAGTATAGAGTCAATACAGAAATAGACGTTATATAATTTAGAGTCAATACAGTAACAGACGTTATAGTATAGAGTCAATACAGAAATAGACGTTATATTTTACAGCTGCTGGGAAGGCTGGCATATAACAGGAAAGAAAATGATGATTATTATTATTATTATTTTTTTTTAATGAAAACAATAGAAATGTATATGAATGTAAAATTAAAGGTTCGGACAAGTGTCTTGTCTCCTTTTTGTCTTCGTTAAGTCAGCACATAAGACTATACAGCCTGGGAATGATTCATAGTTAATAGCATTGGAATACCGATTTATCAAAATAGCTAAGAAAAAATCTATAAAAATCCTGCAGTCAACAAAAACTAAATTATACCGCACAAAAAGTTTACTTTCTTATGTCAGCAGATATTTTAATTGCTTTTCGAAAAATGGACTGGCAGGTATTATTATAGATGAGATATAACTGAAATTAAACATCAGGAAAAAAACCTTAATCGATATACATGTATATATATATATATAAATAATATTCAAGAATATAAGCATGCATGAAACGATATGTCTGCTAACGTTTTAATATCCATGTATCACATAATATCAAAGTAGCATTATCATTAAAATACGTTGTTCGTCAACCAGTGCTAAACAGATAATATCTTATAGGAAATATAATATTTTGGAGCAACGGATTTGCTACATAGCGGACTATGAGTTGTTCAGTGTATAACAGCTGTTAAGTATAAAGCGTACATATACAGTACAAGACTTACAGACTAGCATGACAAGGATCAGGAGTAAGAGCGGTCCACTGGATTGGAGCTCCATGATGATACGGAGGTGTGGAATGATCCACTACACATATCCCGTCGTATTTATATGTACTGCCTAATTGGCCCGCCCGCCTTTACGTGACAGACCATGAACTCGTGACAGACACGCCGTAGTGCGTACTCCTGGCTAAGCTGACTCTAACTTAAATATCATACAACATAAAGGACATATCAATCACAACTATGTTTTGCTTAAATATATAATGATCAGTGTCCTCACCATTTCTTTGTCAAACATAGTTTATGTATTGTTTGTTTGTTTGTTTGTTTTTGTTTTGTTTTTGTTTTTTTAGGCGGCAATGTGTAGAGCGAACCTTCATAGTTTGTTGACTTCAAATATAACATTTAAAAAAATTCAATCTGATTTAATATTTGCTTTCACAGCATGTATGATAATTAATTGAAATGTGAAGTAAAAGAACAACTTTTAAAAACGTGAGTCTACTGGCGCATTAAGGCAAACATAGTAAACACTTTACTGCATCATATGGGCTTCTTATCTATTTAGAACTCAACAATAGCACTAAACGTCAAAGACAGGGTCTCAAGTGTTAGAGACGTACGTACAAATAATAAACCCCTTATAACGTTACCAAATTACAACTACAAATGAACCATCATTTAACTGCTGGTATTAGCTGTAAGCGGTACTACAAATTAACCATAATTGAACTGCTGGTATTAGCTATCAACCATCATTTAACTGCTGGTATTAGCTATAAACCATCATTTAACTGCTGGTATTAGCTATAAACCATCATTTAACTGCTGGTATTAGCTGTAAACGTGGCAGAGTGTATTCAAGCTACAAGGTCACGGCAATTCTCGAGGACTGAGAGGCACAGAAAGCCACACAAAATAATTATTTTACTTCACAAGGTATGTATAGTGATATAAACCAGATCTTGTTTGATCCTATACTTCACAATGTATGTGTAGTGATATAAACCAGATCTTGTTTGATCATATACTTCACAATGTATGTGTAGTGATATAAACCAGATCTTATTTGATCATATTCTTCACAAGGTATGTATAGTGATATAAACCAGATCTTATATGATCCTATACCTCACAATGTATGTGTAGTGATATTAAACAAATCTTATTTGATCATATACTTCACAATGTATGTGTAGGGATATAAACCAGATCTTATTTGATACCAACATTAAAATTGTTTGTCTAGTGATATTAACCAGATCTTATTTGATCCTATACTTCACAATGAATGTGTAGTGATATAAACCAGATCTCATTTGATCCTATCATTCAAAATGTATTTCTAGTGATATAAACCAGATCTTATTTGATCCTATACTTCACAATGTATGTCTAGTGATATAAACCAGATCTTGTTTGATACTATCATTTAAAATATATGTCTAGTGATATAAACCAGATCTTATTTGATCTTATACTTCACAATGTATGTCTAATGATATAAACCAGATACTATTTGATCCTATATTTCACGATGTATGTCTAGTGATATAAACCAGATACTATTTGATCCTATACCTCACAATGTATGTGTAGTGTTATAAACCAGATACTATTTGATCCTATGCTTCACGCTGTATGTCTAGTGATATAAATCATATCTCATTTGATCCTATACTTCACATTGAATGTCTAGTGATGTATACCAGATCTCATTTGATCCTATACCTCACAATGTATGTGTAGTGATATTAACCAGACCTCATTTGATCCTATACCTCACAAGGTATGTCTTGTAATATAAACCAGATCTTATTTGATCATATACTTCACATTGTATGTCAAGTGATATAAACCAGATTCTATTTGATCCTATACTTCACAATGTATGTGTAGTGATATTAACCAGATCTCATTTGATCCTATACCTCACAAGGTATGTATAGTGATATTAACCAGATACTATTTCATCCTATACCTCACAATGTATGTTTAGTGATATAAACAAGATACTATTTTATCCTATACTTCACAATGTATATCTAGTGATATAAACCAGACACTATTTGATCCTATATTTCACAATGTATGTCTAGTGATATAAACTAGATATTATTTTAACCTATACTTCATAATATATGTCTAGTGATATAAACAAGACATTGTTTGATCATAAACTTCACATTGTTTGTCTAGTGATATAAACCAGATCTTATTTGATCATATACTTCACATTGTATGTCTAGTGATATAAACAAGATAATATTCGATCCTATACCTTACAATGTATGTCTAGTGATATAAACCAGACATCATTTGATCCTATACCTCACATTGTATGTCTCGTGATATAAACAAGATATTATTTGATCCTATACCTCACAATGTATGTCTAGTGATATAAACTAGATATCATTCGATCCTATATTTCACATTGTATGTCTAGTGATATAAACCAGATATCATTTGATCCTATATTTCACAATGTATGTCAAGTGATATAAACCAAATACTATTTGATCCTATATTTCACAATGTATGTCAAGTGATATAAACCAGATCTTATTTGATCCTATAGTTACCAATGTATGTCTAGTGAAATAAAACCTAAATTAGGTAAAAGTAATCGAGGTGATCATTTTATTAAGTGGCATACTTCAAGGACAACTTGAAATAATATAGTATTTATATTATATGGTTCATTTTGTTTATATCATTAATATTATTATGAACTATGATTTTGAGTTTGATGAAGAAGAAGATTGTTCAATTCCTGTACCGTAATAGACTTAGCCTAATACATTACAATACCAGCACTGTACACACTGGGACTCGTATATGTAAACTTAACCTAATACATTACAATACCAGCACTGTACACACTGGTACTCTTATATGTAAATTTAACCTAAAACGTTACAATACCAGCACTGTACACACTGGGACTCTTATATGTAAACTTAACCTAATACATTACGATACCAGCACTGTACACACTTGGACTCTTATATGTAAACTTAACCTAATACATTACGATACCAGCACTGTACACACTTGGACTCTTATATGTAAACTTAACCTAATACATTACGATACCAGCACTGTACACACTTGGACTCTTATATGTAAACTTAACCTAATACAATACCAGCACTGTACAAACTGGGACTCTTATATGTAAACTTAACCTAATACATTACGATACCAGCACTGTACACACTTGGACTCTTATATGTAAACTTAACCTAATACAATACCAGCACTGTACACACTGGGACTCTTATATATTTAACTTCACCTAATACATTACAATACCAGCACTGTACACACTTGGACTCTTATATGTAAACTTAACCTAATACATTATAATACCAGCACTGTACACACTGGTACTCTTATATGTAAATTTAACCTAAAACGTTACAATGCCAGCACTGTACACACTGGGACTCTTATATGTAAACTTAACTTAATACAATACAATACCAGCACTGTACACACTGGGACTCTTATATATTTAACTTAACCTAATACATTACAATACCAGCACTGTACACACTGGGACTCTTATATGTACAGCTTCATTTCATTATTAAACATAAAAAATAAAACAAAGCACTGCACTAAACGCTCGTCTTATCAGCAAACAATTAAAGCGCTACCAAGCACAACAGGCAATGTTTGTCGTGATTACGGTAGGCGTAGTCGTAGTCTCAACCTGCGGTCAACCTGACCGGTTGCAGATACATCATGCAAACTGTAAGAAGTATAAAAATCTGATAAAGGCTAGCTTTCATCTTCTCGCCATGATAGGACACAGACTTTTGATTTTTCAAAAGTGATCATCCCAGATGGAACGAAATGCACTAAGGCACATGACATATAATAATTCAACGCCTCTGAATGATTAAATCCAGAAAATGAAATGAAGCCTCTTAAAGACGATGAACCAGTCTAAACGTCTTTGCTTAAGTAAGATGTTGCAGATCTACAAATTAAAATCCTGTGTGCGTTTAATAAATCTCACAATATATTGTATTATTGTAGAGTATTTTGACTTGGGTCAGATATGGAAAGTGTTGCAATGGCAATTTGTTTATTACCAATGCAGGTGGTTCTGTATTATATGTTTATTACAGGAAAGTTAAGCGCAATGTCTATGTATTGTAAATGATTCTGTTAATGGTACGTGTTTATCGCTGGTACTCCCTGTGTATATGTTGGCTGTTGTCTGCAGCGCCTGATATGGAATTTTCTCTATGGTATCAAGGAATGGTTCTTCTAGGTTTCTTTGTATTCATATTGTCCCATACATATACTACCCATGCATTCTTGTTGTCATACAATTACACGCCGTGCATTCACGGACACTCCACGTATTCAAAGTGTTACTGATAAAAATGAATATATACATTGTCACGGACATATACACGGTCTGTATTCACATTGTCACAGATATATACACTCCGTATATGCAAACTGTCACAGACATATCCGCGCTCTGTATTAACATTGCCATAGACAAACGCTTGCCCTATATTCACATTGTCACAGATATATATACACCTCGTGTATTCCCATCATCACAGACAAATACACGGTACGTATTCACATTGTCACATATATATATACTCCGTGTATTCACACTGTCACAGACATATTCGCGCTCTGTATATAAATTGTCACAGATATATACACTCCGTGTATTCACACTGTCAGATTTATGTTAACGTTCTTTATTCTCATTATCAAAAAAACATTTGCTCTGAGTATTCATCATTGTCCAAGTTATAATCACGACACGAATATTCTTATTGTTATATATATATTTAATCCGTGCATTTGCATTGTTTAAGAAATATACACATCATGTTTTTAGATTGTACGAGACATATACACGTCTTGTTTTCAGATTGTGAGAGACATATACGCGTCGTGTTTTTAGATTGTAAGAGACATATACACGTCCTGTTTTTAGATTGTAAGAGACATATACACGTCCTGTTTTTAGATTGTAAGAGAAATATACACGCCGTGTTTTCAGATTGTAAGAGACATATACACGTCGTGTTTTTAGATTGTGAGAGACATATACACGTCTTGTTTTTAGATTGTAAGAGACATATATACG